AGACAGAGAAAGCCTTCCCCTGGAGCTGATGCCCTGAATTTGGACTTTTAGCCTACTTTACTGTGAGGAAATAAACTTCTCTTTGTTAAAGCCATCCACCTGTACTATTTGTTATAGCAGCACTAGATGACTAAGAGTGGTTATCTCCTCAACTATTTAATTCTCAGGAAGACCCTTCACACCCACTAACATGGCTATAATAAAAAAATTTGGAGAATAACAAGTGTTGGCAAGGTTGTAGACAAACTGAAACTCATACATTGCTGATGGAAACATAAAATGGTGCAACAGCTTTGGACAACAGTCCAGCAGTTCCTCAAAAGGTTAAACATAGAGTTACCACATGACCCACTCCTAGGTATATAATCCTACTCCTAGGTATATACCAAAGAGAAATGAAAACATATGTCCATGCAAAAACTTGTACATGAACACTCATAACAGCAATATTTATAATAGCCCAAAGTGGAAACAACCCAAATGTCCATCAATCAATGAATGGACAAACAAAATGTGGTATAATCATGCAATGGAATATTATTCAGTCATAAAAGAAAACTAGTACTGATACATACTACAACATGGATGAACCTTGATTATGCTGAGTGAAAGAACACACAAAAGGCCACATATTTCATGATTCTATTTATATGGAATGACCAGAATAGGCAAGATGATAGAGGCAGAAAGTAGATTCGTGGCTGTCAGGAGGGCAGAATTGGGAGTGACTGCTAATGGGTATGAGATTTCTTTTTAGCATGATAAAAATGTTCTCAAATTAGATAGTGGTGATGGTTGCACAATCTTACGAATATACTAAAAACCACTGAAATGTTAAAAAGCTCGTTTTCATGGTTCAGGAAAGGAAGGTCCAGACAAGATCTGTGACTTGCTCGACACCAACCAGCTGTAAGAAATACATTCATCTAATTCTGTCCAATCCCAACATCCACCCTCTTTCTCCTGTATTGCCCAGGGCCAGTCTTGTTTACTCAGCCCATCTCCCAGCTGTATGACCTTCAGGAACCTCAGGCCAAGCCTCAGTTTCCTAATCTATCACAGAAGAGTCTTCTGGACCCAAGCCCGTCTACAGCCTTAATCACACAGCAGAAGCCAGAAGACCAATTTCTTGTTTTCAGAAGGGTTATTGGGTTAGTAATTCATGGCTGTTTCCAGTCTGTCAGCCATTTTCCTGTAACTACACATTTTAGTTTACTGTCTGTGGGGTCAAGGTCCTTCACACAAGATGAAGTAGAGACAAGCTTCCCAAGCTGAGCGGACTGGAGTGGCTATGTGGTGGACAAGGGTGGACCCTGTTCAACAGGAATTCACAGGCCTCTCCTAAGGGTGCTGCTTTTCCACCCTGCTTCTTTATCCTCCCTGTCCTGCCAGAGGCCACCAAGCTGGCTTTCTGAGGTAGTCCTTGAATA